CTCTACAAAGACAACTACAAAACACTGGAGAAAGAAATCACTGATGATATAAACAAATGGAAAAACATATCATGCTCATGGATCGGTAAAATCAACATTGTTAAACTATCCATAGTACCCAAAGTAATTCACAGATTCAATGCAATCCTCATTAAAATACCAATGTCATATTTCACAGAACTAGAAAAAATAATTCTATGCTTTGTTTGTAACCAGAAAAGAGCCGGAGTAGCCAAAGCAATCTTAAGCAAAAGGAACAAATCTGCAGGCATCACATTACCAGACTTCAATGTATACTACAAGGCTATAGTAACCAAAACAGCATGGTACTGGCACAAAAATAGAGACACAGACCAATGGAACACAACAGAAAACCCAGACATAAAACCATCCACACACAGCCAACTGCTCTTTGACAAAGCAGGCAACAATATACACTGGGGAAAAGAATACCTATTTAATAAATGGTGCTGCGACAACTGGATAGCCACATGCAGAAGAGTGAAACAGGATCCCTATCTCTTACCACTCGCAAAAATTAATTCAAGATAGATAAAAGATTGAAATGTAAGGCATGAAACCATAAGAACTTTAGATGAAAATGTTGGAAAACTCTTCTAGATATAGGCCTAGGCAAAGAATTTATGAAGACCCCAATGGCAATCATAGCAACAACAAAAATAAATAAATAGGAATTGATCAAATTAAAGTTTCTGCACAGCCAATAATCAACAGAACAAATAGAAAACCTACCAAATGGGAGAAAATACTCGCAAGCTATACATCCAATAAAGGGCTAATAACCAGAATCTACAAAGAACTCAAGTAAATCAGCAAGGAAAAAAATCAAAACACCCCATTAAAAAGTAGGCAAAAGATGTGAACAGAAGCTTTTCAAAAGAAGATAGACAAGCTTTTCCCTTTTGCGGCCATTGCCGAAGCAGCAGTGGCCAAAATGAAGTTCAATCCCTTTGTGACTTCAGACCGAAGCAAGACCCGCAAAAGACATTTCAATGCACCTTCCCACATTCGCAGGAAGATTATGTCTTCCCCTCTTTCCAAAGAACTGAGACAGAAATACAATGTTCAATCCATGCCCATCCGAAAGGATGATGAAGTTCAGGTGGTTCAGGGACACTATAAGGGTCAGCAAATCGGCAAAGCAGTCCAGGTTTACAGGAAGAAATATGTCATCTACATTGAACGGGTGCAGCGGGAAAAGGCCAACGGCACAACTGTCCACGTGGGCATTCACCCCAGCAAGGTGGTTATTACTAGGCTTAAACTGGACAAAGACCACAAAAAGATCCTTGAACGGAAAGCGAAATCTCACCAAGTAGGAAAGGAAAAGGGCAAGTACAAGGAAGAAACAATTGAGAAGATGCAGGAATAAAATAATCTTATGTATAACTTTCATTAAAAACTGCTAAAAGGAAAAAAAAAAAGAAGATAGACAAATGGCCAATAAACATATGAAAAAATGCTCAATGTCACTAATTATCAGGGAAATGCAAATTAAAAGCACAATGAGATATCACCTCACTTCACTGAGAATGGCTTTTATTAAAAAGTCCAATAACAATGGATGCTGCTGTGGATGCAGAGAGAATGCAAGGCTTATATATTGTTGATGGGACTGCAAATTAGTACAACCTCTACGGAAAACAGTACGGAGATTCCTCCAAGAACTAAAACTACCACTTGATCCAGCAATCCCACTTCTGGGTATTTACCCAAAGGAAAGGAAGTCATTTTTCAGAAAGACACCTGCACTCAAATGTTTATTGCAGCACAATTCACAACTGCAAAGACATGGAATCAACCCAAGTGCCCAACAATTCATGAGTGGATTAACAAAATATGGTATATGTATACCATGGAATACAACTCAGCCATGAAGAAGGATAACTTAATGCCTTCTGCAACAATACGGATGGAACTGGAGACCATTATCCTAAGTGAAGTATCTAAAGAATGGAAAAACAAACACCACATGTGCTCATTATTAAACTGGAACTAACCGGTGAGTACAGATGTGCACAGAGGGAAGGATAATTCAGTGGAAATCAATCAAGGGGCAGAGGGGAGGAGGGGATGGGTGAAAACCTACCTAGCGTGTACAATGAACACTATCTGGGTGATGGGCACATTAATAACCCTGACTCAAGCATTACAAAAGCAATCCTTGTAACCCAAAACATTTGTACCC